TGTGTGTGTGTGTGTGACTGTGTGTGTGTGTCAGTTGCTGGTATGTGTGACCGGGTGTGACACAGTGTCCTGATTTCAGACTGAGGGTTTTTTTTTTCGCTCTTCATTAAAAATCTGTAGAAATGACAGGACTGTAGTGAGAGTGTGTCTGAAAACCCGCCGGGCATAAGAACAGGTTTTACTGTAACTGCAAACTCTGTTGTTGGTGGTGGTTACACTTAGAAATGGGACGGTCCAAAAGTTGTCGTTCGACGCACACCTCAAACCTGGAGGTAAACATTCACAGGCCTCGGAAATATTCCCTTTTGACTGTTTTATCGCCACAAATCACAAGTGAAGAGCTAAAGACAGAAAGAGTCAAAGGAAGAGCTCGGTACAGGAAAGAAGGGCCTTCATCACTGAAATGGAGCCAGGCCTTTTATTCTGAAAACAACCTGCTAAACACATTTTACAAAGTTGTGGTCAAAGTCCTCGACAGGCTGTAAACATGCAGAAGGTTCACCCGGGTTTGGATACGTGCTCTTGCATTCCTCACACACAGACAGAAACACAGCACATGTTTTATGTCTGAATCTTATTAGACACGTTTTGTGTTATTACACAAGGACACATCTTACATGAAACATACAGAACCACATGTAACAGTGTTCTGTATGTTTAATAATGCTAAAATATTTAAATCACACATGTTCATCGTGTGTTTTGTGCGATGTCGAGAAGAACTTGAATAAGAGAAAAAAGAATTTGCTTCCACTGAAGTTTTTAGAGGCGGGTCACATGACTCCACGCCGCAGGCTGGAGTTCCTCATCAGGTAAAAACTCTGCACGTTATAATTCTGTATGCTAACAAGGTGCGAACGCATTTCGCTTTTATACAGTTTATTACATTAAGATGTTTCAGAAAACAACAGAAGCTGAACATCTGCATGAACAGATAAGAGCTCAATAATAAGATAAACCTACCACTGTAGTATGTGTTTATAATAATGTTATAATAAGTGATAAATGTGTTTAGTTTGTGTTTGGACACAGGGCTGTGTGCTGTATTCTCCACAAACTGCATAAACCGGGCTCAACTTGAACCCTCACTCACAGTGTTTTAGTGTGTGGGGACTATTTGTTTTCACGGGGCTCACTGAGCATCAGGTTACAGAGGAAGTTTGAAAGGTTTGAAACAGCGTGCGAGGAGAGCGCGGCAGGTGCCAGCCAGTCAGAGCCGTGTGTTTGTGCTGAGAGTGTGCGATGCTTATGTGTGTGACTCTGTGCATTCCTGTCAGCGTCGGTTTGGTTCCAGCCTCGTGTGGGCGGAGCCAGCAGACAGATTTATGACCTGGACTCGTTTATTTCTGTGTGCTGTGACCACACCCGCTCTCACATGGGGTAAAGGTTGAACGGTCTTTAGATTAAGCGAGCTGGGATTGGCTGCTGGGTGTATGATGTCACTTGACGGATGGCTGACGAGGCCCTCACAGATTCTCCTTTAAATGTTTTATCTTTTCTGATTGGTGGACAGGGTGTGTCCCGCCACAAACCCTCCAGTTTATTTTTTCACATGCTTCGCTCCTGTGGTCACACAGAGCAGTGTGTGTGTGTGTGTGTGTGTGTGTGTGTGTGTGTGTCACATACCAGCCTGCTGGTGCCGCAGAGACACAATCACAGTGCACGAGGAGGGGGAGGGGCAGCAGCATTCCAACATACCAGCGTCTCTGAAACTCACCTGTCCCAGGTGTTTAAATAGAAAACAATGGATTTCAAAAATAAAACTTTATTTGTCTTTGCAACGGCAACAAACAAACAGCAGGAGAAAAAACAACAATAATAATTATTAAAAATGACTGAAGTCATAAATAAATGAACAAAATTACAGTAAGATTCTTAAGGTCCTGTTTATGAATGAGTGAATTCCTTCATGGTTTTTGTACAGCAAAAAACCTCAGATCACTGAAAACCAGAAGGACGGACTAACAATTCACGAGAAATAAAAATCAGTAATCATGATTTTCTTCTAGAAATCAACATGGTCCACTGAAAACAGCACGACATCAGTCACATACTCCACTGCTGTACAAAGAGTGGGGTAGCAGGAGGGTAAAGAGTGGGGTAGCAG